AATGGAGCCTAAACTAGGGTTACCATTCGTCCTCTTTTCCTACTGTCCTCTTTTTTTTAGGGCATTCGGGAACGTCCGGGAGGATTTTTTGAAAGCGTCCGGGATAATTATAAGCATCCAGGGTTTCAAGAAATCTTTTGTAATCTAAATATTTTGTTTTGATTCCTCTCGCGTTACTCTACATTACCAAATAACACAGGTATTACATAAAGGAGTTAAAATTCTTTAATTTTAATATCTAACAAAGCTTAAACTAAACCTATAATAAAACTTATTTTTAATTTAAAATAGTGTATATTTATTTATTTTCCAGTTCAAATTTCTCTTTGCTCTAAATGCTAATGAACAATTAAATGTGAAATAATGATTCATTTACTGTTCTAATCAATTTTATTAATTTAAGCGCATTTTTGTATACGTCCGGCATTGCAATCGAAATGTCCAGATTTTTTGGCCCCTAATTTTGAAAATTTTATGGCAACCTTAGCTTAAACGGCGAATTGCGTGATGTATCAAATAACATTAAAAAATGAGTGACAAAATAAATAACGTTTGTTTTATAAAACTACCCTGGACTATCAAAAACTATCCTAACTCTCAAAATCAATCTTGCGATCATCTTCATCTCTTGAATTCGGCCTGATTAAAATATGACAATAAAAATACACGTCTGGAGAACAGCGAGAATCTACAAATGTTAATTAAGAATCTAGATGGGTAGCGACTCGCTTCATTTCGTAATATCGTCGATCTTCGCGCTGTGTAACATGGATTAAGAACTCCTACGGAAAACGAGATAATTCGAGCCGCTCGTCTGCGCTTTTAAAAGTCGAGTGGCAAGGAATGCGTGGGAAGAAACCTACTTGAGACTCACAAAAGAACAGGAAGAAACTGAACTTTATCCTGTAGTTTTTCTCTGTAGCCTTCCTTCCTCCGCGGTGCTCGCACCTCGCATCTTTTTTCATTGTTCTTTTTCTTTTTACTCCTAATGTTTTTCTGCGAAGAGCAAACAGGACGAAGCGCGAGCATCGCCATAAATAAATGATGTTTCGCAAACAAGAAAAGGAAATACCTTTAAAGAGATACTATAAAGAAACATTATCGATTCGGCTTTGCGTATTCCGCATGAAATCTAATAAATTTTACAGACGCGATACAAATACATTTCTGAGAAAAGTTTGAAACTTCGGTTCACGAGTTTCAAAATTTTACAGCTCTCGCCTTCGATCTCCGACTGTTCGAAATCGATTTTCGTGCTCTTTGATTTCTTGTCTCTCGACTCTCGTAATCCAGCGTCCTATTTTTCGCCGCGCGAACGTGGCGAAAAGTGTCTTGGGATTCTAGCAAGTAATTTCAGCAACGGATGGCACTGGCGCATTGCCGCAAACCTAAATATTTCAGACAATCCCCAAATGTATCGGCTCGGTTTGGCTTCCCCCCCCTCTCTCTCTCTCTCTCTCTCTCTCTCTCTCTCTCTCTCTCTCTCTCTCTCTCTCTCTCTCTCTCGTCTCTCGTACTACGTACGTACGTACGTACGTACGTACGTACGTACGTACGTACGTACGTACGTACGTACGTACGTACGTACGTACGTACGTACGTACGTACGTACGTACGTACGTACGTACGTACGTACGTACGTACGTACGTACGTACG